AGTTCTCGCTAAGGAATCTCTTACGCGATCAACATCCAGATGGCATCTATAAGCCCATCATCCTATCCATCATCTTTACAAATGGCATCTGTAAGCCCATTCCCGCCATCACACTGCTGATACTCAACTATGTGAGTGCAAATTTCTGGGCACTCTAGTGTTCAATCATCTTCTACCCTCGGATTACGAAAGGCGCGTCCGCCAATCTGCACCCTCAGGTCTGAGAAGATTGAACAGGGGCAACTGTTGTACCCCAAAATTTGCCCTCCCATATTCTCCAAGAAATTGCCAAGTCAAGCTGCAAAATTCCCCAAGGGTTGCACAGTGCAAAGGTCTCCCATACAGTCAAAACTAGGGTTTGTGTTCTGATCAAGAAAATGAAGTTTCCAAAGGTCCAATAAAGTCCCACATGCCTACAAATATGGTCAAGTATCCTCATATCAAGTTTCAAGGCATTCAGTACAAAATTGCACAGTCAAAAACCCTAATTGCACTACAGTCAACTGTAGGGGCAAAATGGTCATTTGACAGTCAAAAGTTCAAATTTTTGGTCAACATATCATTTTGAAGCCACAAACATCATTTGATCAATGCTTGATCATGATTCTCAAAATTTGGCTCAGAAATCATCAAGATGCAAAAGTTTCCTTATTTGGACAGCTGAAAAAGTCAACTGAAATTGACCAGGGCATAACTTTCACATGGATTATCAGAAAAATTCCATCCAAAGCTCATTTTGAAGAGAAAGACATTTCCTATAACTCATCTTCATACTTCAAGTCCAAGAAATGCTCTCACAAAAAGTTATCAATTTCAACATTATAGGTCATTTTCAAAAGTCAACAAAAAAGGACTTTAAGTCAAAGGCCATAACTTGAGATTGGTATATCAAAATGACATGGGACCAAAGGCATTGGTTAGAGGACTCAAAGAACTTTCCAAAATGTCCAAGAACATGAGAAAAGATTAATAATTGAGCAAGTTATGCCTTGTGGAAGTTGGGAAATTTTTGGATATTTTGAAAAGTCAACATTGATTCAAATGACCTAAAATTGCTAATGGGCCCATTTTTCTTCCATAATTCATCATCCATGACATGTGCACGACCATTTGGCCCAAAGGGAAATTTTTATTCATTTTTTATTTATTTATTTGAATTTTTATTTATATTAATTCACTTAAATCAATTAAATATGTGAAAAATACTTAACTTAACCTAACAAATCTTTTTGCACATGTTTTAGACTCAATAATTCGTGCACATTCAAATATGGGAAGATTTGGTTTGATTGGATCCTAGTTGACACAAAATTGCATGGAAAAAGATATGGAAATCATGGTGAAAAATCAAATCTTCAAAACCATGATTGCAAGAGATTTGGAGCAAGTTTTTTTGACCTAATGCACTCACTACATATGCCTAAATACAATCCTAATCAAAATACACACTGAGCTGCGCAAGAAGGCCAAAATCAAACTTGGAATTTTTCTCAAAAAACTCAATACTGAAAACTGATTTGCAGGTGGATTCAGGACATAATTTTCATTCCAATAGCTTCCTCGAGGTCCACTGAACGATTCTCAATCAAGAACACTCATCAAAACGCCCAGAATCGGTATAATGAAGTCCAACTGTTTCAAACAAAATCCATGATCGTGTTTTGACATATAGGCATTCTTATGGCATTTTAATTGCTGATTTATATTCCTTATGCCTTTCTAATGCTAACCATATGATTCAATTACGTTTTTATGTTGTGTACACGATTATGCCATGTTTGTGTTCTAGGGTTTGCAGGACCTCAAAATTGGGGGTTTTTAGTTAAAGAAAAATTAGCCCTCAAGACCACCACCATTAGAATCAGTGCATCTGGACGATCTCAAACATACTATCGCGCCTAATTTATGAGTGACCTAGGCTTAATCGCTATTTTCTCAAAACTGGCCTAAGAGAACGTCATGAAAACCGTTGCCCAATGTTTTTGTTTTCAGGAACATGAAGAAGACGAAGTCGTGGCAAAACGTGATAAGCTGGTTTGAATTTTCGCGCGTGGATCCACTAACACTCTTGTTTTTATTTATTATATTTGTATGTTATTATATGTTAAGCGTGCAAGTGTTGGTTCAGTGGCAAACGCGTTGGTTGGAAAGGTACATGACCTGGGTTCGAGCCCCAGGTCTTACATGTTTCCATATTATTTTTCAGTAACAATTCCCATGCGCTTCAAGGCTGCAGACGCACCATATGCCTTCCAGCATCCGACATCCATGTGTCCCTGGAGATCAAATCAAAGGCATAGATTGGAAGCGCATCATAGGCCCTGGTCAAAGGTGCCACATAGTGTCTGGAAAAGTCAACGAACTTGAAGGTTATTGGGCTCAGATTTCTTGGGCCAGACCTCCACTTTGGGGACTACCACCCCCCTAGGTTTGCATATTTTTCATTCTTCTTTATTTTCTTTATTTATTTAAATCTTTTACTTTTAATTATTATTTGTTTAAATTAATTAATTATTTCTACAAAATATAAAAAATGCATAAAAATCAGAAAAGATAAAAAATATAATAAACATTTTTATTTTAATATTTCTTGTAAATAAATGCATGTAAATTAATTAGTTTAAATTAGGGTTTTAATTTTAATTCCTTTCATAACAAAAATCTAAAAAAATATAGAACTAGGTTTAATTAATAATTTGATTCCTTTTAATTTTTCTTTTTTAATATTATTTATTTTATTTATTTTCATAATTAAAATGGTATATAAAAATTAGGTTTAATTTAGGTTAAATTTTAACGTTTTCTTAATAAATTAAAATAAAATAGAATTAGGGTTAGCGTCTAATTGCAATTAATTTTTCTATTAAATCCTAAAATATTAAAAATACCAAAAAACAAAATCTCTTTTAATTAATTTCATCATGTTAATTTAATTTTGCAAAAGGGTCCAACGCCCTCGTTCGTAATTTCTTATTTCTTCGCATATTTATTTTATGTCATTTAAATAATTATGTACCTCTCCCGAAGCCGTGTAAATTACTTCTCGCACTTTTAATTCTTTTACTTTATTTATTTTCCGTCAAATCGGGTCCTGGTTAATTTTGGCGATGTGGACCCGCGCCATTTGTAATAGCTTAGAATTTACTTTTCCCGCAAATATCTTAACTGTTAAACAAAGCATGCAAGAATGAATGTCTAAATAAAAGCAATGCGTAGAACACCAAAAACATGACAAGACAAATACAAATGAAAACGACACACGAATCGCACACACCACCCCTAGGGTACGCCTCACTGTTGCCTTGCCCCGAAAGGTGATCGTCGAGTAGAGGATGTCTTAGTAAGTCCTCATGATCCGGGAACCTGGCATGAGGGTAGCTTCTAAGGTGTCTTCCCATTACTCTGGTGATCACACTGTTGCCTTGTCCCTCGAAACGTGGTCGTCGACTATAGGATGTCTTAGTGAGTCCTTGTGTCCATTGATCTAGTTGCCTAAAACAAAGTTGCCTCGAATAAGTTGCCTCGGAACGGTCGCCTCGGAATAAAAAGATCAATGGCATAAGGGTAGCTTCTAAGGTATCTTACTATTGCTCAGTGTCCACAATGTCCCGAACCCTCGAATGGACCCGAACACCTCCAATAGTGGCGCTACCTACCTCTCAATGGTGGGATGGCACTACTTTAAAGGACATTTACACAGACGAATTCCTTAGGGTAGGTAGACGACTCTAGATACTTGCTCTACTTTCAAAACCAATCAAAAAAATACTTTTCACACCGACACATTTTCAAAAAGCTTTCGAAAGCAACTTTTCAAACACTCTTGAGGACCGATACAAGAGTCGAACTGGAATTTTCAAAGAAACTTTTTAAAACCCACATTGAAAAGCAAACAAACATTTTGAAAACACAAATGAGCAAGTATCTAAGAGCCCATGGATAACCATGGATAGAAAGGGTTCTAACACCTTCCCTTTCTATAATCTACCTCCCGAACCGAGAGCAATCTCTTTAAGGAATTTTTCTGTGCTTTTGTCCTTTCCATTTGGAGAAAATAAAAGACGGTGGCGACTCTTGCTTCCGCGACATTTCGCGAACCAACTTTAAACAGTCAGTTCCAGATCCACCGATCACACCTAACATTTAATTTATTCATGAACACGACATTACATTAAAAACCCTGACATCGTAACACCAAAAAACTCTAACATTTCATTGATGCATGAACACAATCTAACACTGAAAACCCTAAAATTGTAACCCTGGGTGAAATTTCATTTCTACAAGAACACCATATAACATTTAAAACCCTAAAATATGAAACAAAATAAACATATACTAACCGTATGAAAAGGTTCTTCAATGGCGTATGTACCTCTGATTTCTCCTTCAATTGTTGTCTCTTTCACTCGTTTCAACCTTCGATTACGCTTTCACCTTCTCCTTCAAAGCTTGTTCAAATATGGTCGCCTTCTTCGCTCCACAGTTGCATTGTTCAAACGTTTGCCTGATACAGTTTGGAAATGAGAAAGAAATAACTTCATAATTGAGAATACAATTTTAATTTCACTTAATGTGCACATCAACTTATTTTTCTCCACATCAACGCCTAATTTCCACATCAATGCCATATGACAATTTAATTTGACTTGGATTTAATAATCTAACAGAAAGGACAAGAATGACACGTTATGACTAAATAAAAGATCAAATTAGTCTCTTTTTTTAAAGAAAATAGACAAAAAATGAACCTAAGGTAATATAAAAGGACAAAAAGATTATTAAACCTTTATTTAATTAATTAAATGTATCATTTAAATTCAAACTAACCCTATTTTTAACTCCTAATTCCAAACACAGATTTGAATTTCTCTCACCTTTTAGGTTTATAAGCCCTAAACTTCGTTTTATTGTTGGTAATATTAATATTTAGGGTTTAAGTACTAGGAGAAGCAACAAAGACTGTGACATCCTTTCTTCAGAACTTCACAATCTCATGCATGGCACTACTCTCTAACGCAACCCAAATTACAACAACCTTCAATCCCCTCAAAACCAATCTTCCAAAACCCTCACACCCTTTTCTTTATTCCCAAGTTTCCTTCCTTTCTCACTCTCACACGACCTCCATATTACTCACCGCCACCGCCAACATGTTCCCAGTTCCTTCCGGCGACTTCAAACTCTCTAACATGACAGCTTTATCCCCATTAGACGGTCGTTATTGGGAAAAGTTTAAAGACTTGGCTGGTATCATGGGTGAATATGGACTCAATACTATAGGGTCATTGTTGAGGTACACCCATTTTTATTCTTCAATTTTTTTACACCTTTTTATTTAAATAACTTCTTTTTTTTATCATCGTTGTAACTGATGTTTGTGTTTATATTATTTAGATTAAATGACTCCTGAAGCTTTCTGAGATGAGTAAAATCACTGAGGTTCCTCCTTTTAGTGAAGATGCTAAGTCTTTCTTACAAGGTTTGACTCATAACTTTAATGAAGATGATGTCAAGGAGATTAAAAGATTTGAGATGATTACAAATCATGATGTTAAAGCTGTTGAGTATTTCTTGAAACACAAGTGCCAGTCAAATGCTAAAATTTCTAAGGTTGTGAATTGTGATTTTTGTTTTGAGTTTTGATAATTTTTGAACTCAACAGCAATAAGTGCTTGAATTTTTTCACTTTGGTTGCACATCCGAGGATATAAATAATCTTGCTCATGCCTTGATGTTGAAAGAAGCAATGAATTATGTTATGTTTCCTGTCATGGATAAAATAATCAAAGCTTTGTGTACAATGGCCAAAGACAATGCTCATATCCATATGCTTTCTCGCACTCATGGACAGGTAAGCTATTTTTGCATTACTAGACTATTTAAGAATAATGCATTGTTATTGTTGTGGACTATGATATTGCGATATTGCAAATGATGCCGACTCAATTAGCTAAGACCTACTGATATTTTTGATCTTGTATATTTTTGAACTTGTATATTTTTGAACTTGGTTTGTTTGTTATTGTTTATTTTTGAACTTGATAGTTTTTTTGTAATATTCTTCATATTAGAAGTTTAGAATAGTTTAAATGCAATATGGAAACTTCGAGAAGTATTACGTCAAAATAATTTATTTAAGATGTACTTCTGAAAATAAAAAATCTTGAATTTTTGCATAGAAAATCGATTACCACAAAATGGGTAATCGAATTCCACAGTTGAGATTTTTCTGGATTTACATTTTTGAGTTCAGAAAATTGATTTCCAACGTGACTTTTGTGTCTTTTGCTGTTTTATGGGTCTGTTGAGGTTCCAACCTGTTTTGCTTTTTTTTTTGTGTAATCAAAGAATATATTAAATGAAGAACTAAGGATTCTCTAACCTATTACAAAGAGAAGTGGTCAAAACACCATAAAAAAATCAGAAAAATTACAAACCAATTACAAACTACAACAAGAAGAATAAAGGATCCTTGTTGAACTCGTAGAAGCTACAATTGGAATGCGTAATCTTACCGCAAGAAAATCATTTCCAAGCCAGAGATTTAATGCTCCAAACCGTATTATTCACATTCCATACCACATTCCGAAAACATAAATCATTTCTAACCAACCATATACACCACACAGTTGCTAACCAAATAACACCCAATTTATCTTCCTTCACTTTTTTATCTCTACAAAAGAAATACCAATACATAAAATGTGAATGGCACTCCGCCAACTCCACCTCCCTTTTACCCACCCAATTCGCTATATCCAACCAAATAGAATTGACCACTTCACACTTAAAAAAAGAATGATCCCTACTAAGAGTTCCATAAAAGCAACAACAAAGAGAATTTAAAGGAAAAGAAATACCTCTAATCGTCAATTGTTCTTTAGTAGGAAGCCTATCAAGGAGAAGCCTCCAACCAAAAGACTTAATTCTAAAAGAAACTTCTGATTTCCAAACTAAACAGAAAACACTGTCAAACTTATTAGGAGGCCCAAATGGAATTTTCTTGCTATCATAACAATTGTAACAAGAAGAGACGGTAAACCCTTCTTTCGGATTGATACGCCAAATAACCTCATCTGCTCCTTCCGATAGATTTCCATACACTCCCAACCTCTCCTTCAAACTAGCCACCTTATCCGTCAAAGATGGAATGGCCTCCCTTCCAACAATACCCAAATTCTCCCAATTCCACCCACCATCTATCCAACCTCCCATACCCACCACCGCCACCTCCTTCAACGAAGAAACCTCAAAAATCTTCGGATAAACCTCTTTTAAAGGAAAGACGTCTAACCACCTCGCTTCCCAAAAAGGCGTTTTGAAACCATTCCTAATGACAAACTTACAAGTGGAGAAGATAGGGTCCTCGAGAGAAAATTTGTTCATCTTAAGAATATTCTTCCACCAAGAAGAGGAAGTAGAAGGAACACCTCCGTGCAACGCCTTTACCGACACGTTGCCATAACGAGCTCCCAACAGCTTGAACCATAAGGCATTTTGACCTTGAAAAATTCTCCACCGCCATTTATTAAGAAGGGCCAAATTGAAATCCGCAAAATTTTTAATGCCTAAACCACCCTTCTCTAATGGTAAAGTAACATTTCTCCAACTAACCCAATAAATCTTTCTCTTTTCCTCTGCACCCCTCCAAAGAAAATTACTTTGGATTCTAGTAAAGTATTTCACCACCTTTGTCGGCATCTTGTAAAAGGACTAGGTGAAAATAGAGAGAGAGAGCACAAAATGAATTTTAGAAGAGTAATTCTCCCACCGAAACTAAGAAAGCGATTCTTCCATCCTCCAAGACGCTTTTTCATCTTATATAACAAAGGATTCCATGTAGATGCCTTCCTAGGATTGGACCCAATAAGAATACCAAGAAAGACAAAGTTACTCTCTTCCAACTTACAAGATAACACATAAGAGGCGGCTTCTAAAAAATTGCAACTAGAATTAATTCCAATCAACTTTATTTTTTGATAATTAATCCCAAGCCTCGAGACTAATTCAAAAGCCCTCAACACCATTTTGATCGCCCTCACATGCTTCCACGAACCCTCCCCCACCAATAAAGTATCATCCGCAAATTAAAGAACGTCAACCAAACAATTACCATTGATACGAAAAGTCTCATACTCCCCTATCTCGATAGATTTTCTTACAAACCCCGTTAAACCTTCCGCCACCAAGACAAATAGAAAAAGGGGAGAGCGGGTCCCCTTGTCTCAAACCCCTCTCTACACTAAATTCTTTAGTGGGACTACCATTAACAAGCACCGACATTTTGCTTTGAAAGACCAAAAGCTCCATCCACCTCCTCCACTTTTCCCTGAACCCCATCCTTCTCAAAACAAAACGAAGGTAATTCCAACTAACTTTATCATAGGCCTTCTCGAAATACACTTTAAAGAGAAGACAAATCCTCCCCTCCTTCCTTTCAAAATCAACAACCTCGTTAGCCACTAAAACACCATCAAGCAATTGTCTTCCCAGAACAAAAGCACTTTGACAAGGAGAGATAATAGAATCCAAAACTCTTTTCAACCTCCCTGCCGACAACTTCTCTAAATACTTATACATACAACCAACCAAGAAAATCGGTCTATAGTCGTCCAAACCTAGGGGATTCGTAGACTTATGAATCAAAGTTAGGAAAGACGAACTAACTCCTTTAGAAACCACACCACCGTCATAGAAATAATTAAAAAACTAAACAAAATCCTCTTTCAAAAGAGACCAACACTTCTTAATGAAGAGGAAAGAGCACCCATCCAAACCCGGACTCTTGTCCCCCTCACAACTCCAAATAGCTTCCTTAACCTCCTCCTCTTGAAAAGATCTTTCAAGGAAAAGTCTATCTGCTTCACTAATACTACGAAAACCAATACCATCTAACAAAGGCCTCTCATTCACCAATTCAAAAAAATTGGATTCAAAGTGATTGGTAACCTCCTCCTTTATGTCATAAACCGATTCCAACACACAACTCGAAGTGATCAAAGGGCCTAAGTGATTGTGTCTTATTCTCTCCTTCATTACCTTGTGAAAAAAACCGCTATTAGAATCACCTTCTTTGAGCCACTTCAATTTAGATTTTTGAACGAGCATATTCTCCTTAATTTGTAGTTTTGTCCATAATCTATTAGACGCTTCCTTCCTCTTAGAGATAATATCTGGATGTAACTCCTCGCTATCATATTCCAAACCGAGATCCACCAAATTAATATCTCTCACAACTTCTTCCACTTCTAGATCAAATCTGCCAAACACAACCTTATTCCACCACTTAAGCTTGATTTTAAGTAATCTCAGCTTCTCTTTAAGCACATAATCCCCTCTTCCCTCCACCTTGAATTCTTTCCACTCCTTCTCAATAAAAGGAATGGACGCAACAGAAGAGAACCATTCATTATTGAACTTTAACGGTTTAGGTCCCCAATCAACATCATCCTTGACAATCCAAATAGGACAATGGTCCAAAAGATCTCTATCACCAATAAATTTTCCAACGACTCCCTATCTATTAACAATATTATCTTCCATCAAAAACCTATCAATACGACTCATAGATTTGCCATCTCCGCTATACCAAGTAAAATTCTTCCCTTTGCATGGAATATCCACCAACGAGCTATCCCCTATAAATTCCGTAAAAGAATTCATGTCTCCCCTACAATCAACCGATCCCCTTCCCTTCCTTTCACTTCTTGATTTGATAGAATTTAAATCCCATCCAATGATCCATTCCCCATCTCTATAGGATTCCTTCAACTCCAGCAAAGACGCCCACATACGTTTTTTCTTAATCAAGTCGCACGAGGAATAAACATTAACCACATAATACAAGTCATCCTTCCATAAAACTTTAATCCCTAGGAACTCTTCCCCTTTAAAGCTAGAGATCACCTCAAAACCACCAACTTTGCAAAGAGTGACTAAGCCACACGACAAGCCCCTAGAATTGGAAAACGAAAACCCAACCTCGGTGTTGCTCCAAAAAATATTAGCAACTGAATTACTAATATTGGAAATCTTCGTCTCTTGAATCAAAAAAAATGTCTTCCTTACCCTTTTTGATCAAAAAACTAGTTCTACGCCTTTTGAGCGCATTACCACCTCCTCTAATGTTCAACGAACCAATAATCATAATGAAACATTTTTCAACTTCTTCCTCCCCACCTTAATATTCCTATCCAAGTTCTCCAATTCTTATAACTTCTCAATATTTAGACTCCTCCCATCCGAATCCACCATCCCCAATGCAACAATCGTCGTCCAAAGTTTTTCTCCTTCTAGTCTATCCAAGAGATCCCAATGTCTTCCATTTTTCCTGCCTATATATACATCCTCCAATTGGTTACCATAACATGGCCCAGAACAGTCTAAAATTTTCCAACATGATGAGAAAGC